AACAAAAGCATCAGCAGATGTGCGAAATGATGGCAAGCAAAGGAAGAAGGGAACGCACGTGTCAGCTTTTGGAGCTTGTGGGCATGTAGGTCAGGCGCGACAGCTCCCATCCACGTCCTCCACGGTGCCGCGTAGTAATCTGTCAGATTGGGGCTGGGGATTTGCTTTCTAGTTGCGTCGAGGGAGGCTTCAGGAGAGAGCAGGTAAAGGGGCGAATGCATCAACTCTTGCGCAACCTCCATTCGATCAGATGCGTTGCAGACTCAGATTATGTGTTAGATTGAATCCAACACAAATTTTGGCGCGAGTTTTGCTCTGCTGCGAGCGGGTACGTCGCTGCTGGCCCTCGCGGTTGGCTGCCCCGACAGCGTCGAGGTGGTCCGTGGTGGAGGCGGGGAAGAGTTGGGAGAGAGGAGGGTACGCTGGCGCGCCAGAGTCGCCATGTGCGCCAGGGAACCGCAATAAACTGGATTGCCCTTTAAGTGGTATTTATGTACATGCAAAAGCACAGAATCAAACACATGCGGTGGATGAAGTGGAGGTGGTGGAGGTGGAGGTGGAGGTGGAGGTGGTTTTGGTTGTGGGGGCGCTGAACTTGCCGTTGCTGAGCTCGTCCAGGAGGCCCCGCGCCCGCCGCATCATGTGGTCCTGCAGAAGTCAGACAAGGTCAGTCATAAGAGGGAAGAGGGAAACACAACCAACAGAGAGAACGAACGCTGATTCTATTCTATCCTGCCTGCGCACTCGACGCACGCGTGCCTTGATGGTCATCAAAGTGGGGAAAAACACTTGTACAACTAATAATCGCAATCACAGGCGAAGCGCATTCGCCGCTTTCTACGCGAGAGCAACAATAAGGTAAAAGGCACAAGTCTTGTATCGATATGTATGCATGTATACATCGAAAGCTCCATAGGGAGATGGATAAATGACGATGTCGGTGTAGAAGCAAAAGAGTAATAGAGATGTAGATAAAGAATGAGCGTGGGTGATGAGACGGAAAAGCGTACCTTCTTCTTTTGCACTAGGGCCACTGCCACGCGAGAGTGGGAAGGTCGCCTGAGCTGCTTTGATATGAAGTCGCCCGCATCGACCAGTCCCTCCAGATCCACCCCGGTCTCGATGCCCATTCCCTAAAGAGTCAAATGTTAGTTCTCGACAGCCATGATGTGGTATTACCACACACACACATACACACACACACACACACTACGGTGAGTGGATCCAACGTACGTGGAGCATAAACACAACATCTTCTGTGGCGACGTTGCCCGTGGCGCCCACCGCGTAGGGGCAGCCGCCGAGGCCCGAAACGGACGCGTCGATCGTCGCCACGCCAAATTGGAGCGAGGTGAGGATGTTGGCCAGCGCCTGCCCATAGGTGTCGTGGTAGTGCACGGCCACCTTCTCGAGCGGCACCCGCTTGAGCACCTCGTCGAGCATGCGATGGGTCGAGCCGGCGGTGCCCACGCCGATGGTGTCGCCCAGCGAGATCTCGTAGCAGCCCATCTCGTGAAGCTCGGCGGCGACGTCGGCCACCTTCTTGGGCGAGATGTGGCCCTCGTAGGGGCAGCCCAGCACGCACGACAGGTAGCCGCGCACCTGGAGGCCATCCTTCGCGGCCTTCTTACAGAGCTCACGGTAGCGCGCCAGGCTATCGCCAATCGTGGAGTTGATGTTGCGCTGCGCGAACGTCTCGGACGCCGCAGTGAACAC